AGACAAGGTAATACGGTTTTTCAGCTTAATTGGGTGTGTGCGTTCTGTATATGTCTTAGTGTGTGGTAGGAATGTTTTTAATTTCCGAATACGGTTAGCACATTGTGGCTTTGTTCGTAGTTAATATTGTTAAGAGTTGGCTTTTTATTTTTTATTATTAAAGCTTCCATTATTTTTAGTCTTTTTTGCAGGTGGATGCAGTTAATATATTTGTGTTTTCTACTAGTATGTTCCTAATAGAGTGTGTGTTTAAATGGGTTCTAATGGAGCTGTGATCAGATAGCTGTAACGTAAGACGTCTGGATAAGCATGTGGTTGTGTAACCGATTTAATTATTTATGAGTCCGGTTTGATCAGGAACACAGTTCCTTAAGAGGCATTTGAAAAATCGATATAGCCGAAAGCGCTCGGAAATATAAAACATTTGGACAGTTCTTACACACCCAGAACGAAATCTCTTGTTAGAACACAAGAAAAATTAAATAAAAAGCTTAACCGTAGTACCTTGTCTGTCGTTTTTCATGAAACATGCATACATATATATATATATATATATATATATATATATATATATATATATATATATATATAATCGACTCTCCCGTTGAGATTCGACGTATGAGGGTCAAGCAGCAAGCAGATCAGTTTCCAGGAAACCGACAGCCCGACACCGGCACATGAGATTTGATTATAGTGGTGAAGGCCTCGTGCAGGACAATCCACACTTTTTGAATGGACGAATACAGAGACCTTGTGCACCGAATGCTACAAGGTTCTTAAACGACCCTCCGCAGGTTTTTGAATTCAGAGTTGTCCTTCTCCTAGACCAGTTGCCATCCAAGGCTATAGAACCCAGTCTGTCCTGTTATTTTACCCATAGCTGGAGGGAGAGGAAGAGGATTCATACCTTTCCCAAGAGTATTAGCATGTAAGTGAATGTAATGGATTCGACTGGAATTCGAACTCGGCTCTGCGATTCCTCAATCCAAGCTGTTATCCATTACTCCACCGTGTGTGTGTGTGTGTGTGGAGAGAGAGAGTTATGAAAATATCTCAGTTGTCAACGCACTTTGAATTTCCAGTTATTATTATAATTTTACCACTGGGAAGATCTCTTACAAATGTCGGTCGAACTGACAGAGTTGAATCACGTCCGGGTATCCTGCTGACTCCATCATTAATAGATGATGAACCTGATTAACTTTACTTTTTTTTTTTTCTTTTCACTTGTTGTTGTCGGTGCTCCGCTTTGGCTTTCTGCTTCAATAATTTTAGACAATAGACCCAACCTCAGTTCAACTTCACTCGTGGAGCGACAAACTCCGTCACCTTTCTTCCTATGACCATCTTCAACAGCGAAGGATTTTTTTTTTCAAAGTCTGTCGACGTGTGTCTTTGTTATCAACCGTCAGACCCTCAGCGTATCATGCTGTGGTGGACGGAAATTTCGGAGAAAAAAACCCAAAAACACGAAGATATTTAATAATTGTCAAAACAAAAAGTGACATTTAGTATACCTAACCTCCTCCCCGACTGTGTCATCATTATTCACCAATCTCGGGATATACAATTAAATACACAGACGTCCACACCTTAATGTTTTAGTACCGAATGGACCGAACATGTAAGGTTTTGGAGGGGATGCAAACAAAGAGGAAACTGATACTTAACATCAGAAAGAGGCAGGTGAAATTTCTAGGACACGTAATGAGAAAAGAGTAATTGGCAAATATGATACTCACAGGGCGGATAGAAAGAAAGATATACCAGGGAAAGCAACATGTGATATACTTAACAGGCTTAACCAACTGGATGGTAGAACAAGGTTTGGGGGAAATAACAAAAAGACAAATCTTATTGACAGCTACAAGGAACAGGAAAAAATGGAGAGCCATGATCACCTACGTCCTGAAGGGACACGGAACATAAAAGACAGAATGACTGTCTATGTGTTATTGTGTCTGCCTGTGAAAAATAGAAACAAAACATTAAATGTAAAAGAAACCAATTTTTCGGATAAAGTAGTAGTCGTAAACGTTAAATCTTTTTTTTTTCTTTTCTTTGTTTTCCCTTCATCCCAACCAAGGATTTACTGAGAATGAATGATAATAAAGTCAAATTGGCAGCTGATTTTAAAAAAAAAAAAAACTAATCTGTTGTTAACTGGAGCAAGGAATGACTTGTTAATTTTAACGCCTCAAAAAGTGAGGCTGGTGCTAACCGCCTGACCAATCGGCTTCAGTCCCTTTCCCACTGCCAAAATGTAGCATCCCTGCGACTTTTCTATTAATACTTTCAGAGTAATTGTTCCGATAAACTTTCCTCTATGGTACTATTGTAACCTAAGGAAGGTTACCGAATAGAATAATCACACGAAGCTTGGTAATGAACGATAATACTTAGGACAAGAACACCACGTATAAGATTCGCCAGCGGCGCGTAAATGTAGTAAACTGCTATAAGTGAGTCAAGTGAATTCCACAATGAATCTCTAACTGCCAACCAAAATACAGTTTTTACTACTGTGTTTATGTGAATGGAGACATACCCATTATCGTCCGTAGGTATGCTACAACAGGTACCTAGACTGTATGAATTTAAGTGTAGTACTAGATTGGCTGCAAGGTCTCATCATTTTACAGTTGAAATGGCTGAATGTAACCGTAAGTTCTATGCTAACAGTATCTTCTATCGACCTTCTGTCACGTGAACTCTTTTCTGGTTTCTTGCTTCCCAGTTAACTTTGATGTTTAAGAATGTAAGTGCAGTATTTTTCTTATAGTCTCTAACATTCAGTAACGCTTTTACGATGTAGTGGCTTTATTTCCTTGCTTGGAGTGAAATGATTTTGAAAAAAAAGTAAATTTAGACTATCACGAATAACGTGATATTGAAGCAAGAAAAAACACCACTAGTAGTGTCCAAGTAAGATAAGATGACTATCCCTAGCACTTATTTGTTACATTTTCTGTCACACCCATGCTTCATTTACCAGAGAACAACCACCCACCCGTATTACTTATGTCCACCCACCGGTATTACTCCACTAGCCGAAATTACCCACGCCTCTCTTGTTATGCAAACTTGTTTCTTTGTGTTCGTTGTCCACTCTTCATACTTTTATTTAACTTCCACCGAAAAAAATTTTTTCTGATTTAATTCTATGTCCTTTAAAATTAATATTTAAAAACAAAACAATTACGCTGAATTACAAATGACAAGGAATTAGGGTGGGTTATAGTCTGGTGATAATTCTGGCCAGTTTTATACTTTTGTGTTCTCGAGAACAAAGCTGGTTATAATTGGGATTTTACGAAATTGCCGCCCTAATTAAAAAAAAACAAAAAAAAAAACAAAAAAAAACGCAATTCTTTACGTAGGAAATACTTCGAGGGGATTCTAATAAATATTTTACCATCTATAAACACAAGAATCAAAAATATAGTTACCTACTTCTCCCACTGCCACCGCTACAAACAGGGTTACGTAAAAATGTCCTCAAATTAACATGCGGACGAGCACCATACTGATATAAAAACGTCTACTAGGCAAACACACACAATCACACACACACACACACACACACACACACAAACGAATAGATATTATCACCCGAATCCCGAACAGAAGAACAAGAATCATGATAGAGTTACAGATAAAAATTTAGACACGAACGCTACCTGACAAGAAATAAATACGCGATGCCTGCTCAGCCAATAAATAATAAAGAGAGTGAAAGAAAGACTTGGTTATGCACCTGAAGAAGAGCAGAGAACAAATCGGTCGAAACACGAGGAGGCAGATTTTATTTATTAATTCTTTTGAATGTACAGACTGGTAGACGTAATTCACACGTAATTTCACAAAGAAAAACAGAACGTCTACTCAAACATGGGTATTCACAACATAACGTTAGACATAGAATGCCTCAGAGAAACCAAGGCATCTTTCATCACATACAGTTTAGTTTTTCTTTCATTCTAACCCGAGGAAGCCAAAGAGCGCATACGATCTTGGCGAAACGCGTGGTTTATAACTTTTAAAATTTGTTTCATCATATTCAGAGACTGATAGATAGATAATGAACCAATAGATATATGTACACACACACACACACACACACACACACACACACACACACACATATATATATATATATATATATATATATATATATATATATGCTTTTCAATCGCTTAATTTTGACTTTTTTTCTCTCTTCGACCCGATTGTCGAAAGAAGACTTCCTTGAGAATGTTCTATTGTAAATTGTCTTTATAATAATTTCTTTAACTGATTTTTTAGATAAGTATTTACTGACTTGTTCTTTGGTTGCTGAACAATAATCCACTTGATTACTCGAACAGACTTGACTTCACTTGTCTAGAGAAAAAGCTTTTTCCACACGGCGAACACACACTTGTTCTTTTTCTTCAATTCTCTTAGACAAATATTCTTGACTGGTCTTTTATGACTGTTTTCCTTGTCAGAGCAACAACAGGTTAGCTTCATGCAGGTTTCCTTTTCGTCGCAAGACAAGACGACTTATCGTCTCCACACTGCGGCGCCCTTTTTTGCTACTACTGACTAGATTCCTCTAATCTAGTCGAAAACAAGCGGGAAAATCACGTACGACCAATCGTTAGACACGATTTCGCCACGTGACACAGCAGCAGCAGTTCTTACACTGCACACAGGGGGAAAAGGAGAGGAGGAAGGAAAGTAAGAGAGATAGAAAGATAGATACAGAAATTAAATTTCTGACAGTATATGTATCTCTGTCAATTCAAAACATTTTTACTGCTTGATTTACTGTGACTTAGAAAAACGCAGTAAAAAATGAAATCGATATAGAACCATAAAAAACTCAAACTCGAAATAATGTAAACAAAAATAAAAAGACATAGTATGTCTAAATTATTTAACTAAATCTGTTTGAATGTAAATATGCTGACTAAATACACAAATATATATATATAGATAGATAGATACGAACAAACTGAGATAGATAGATAGATAGATAGATAGATAGATAGATAGATAGAACAGGTAATAAATCCGTTGGTATATAATCCAGGTAAATCCTAATAATATAAAATGTTAAAACTGATCTACAAAAAGAGCACAATGCATTTATTATAATAGAGCATTTAAATTACACAACAGAGAAATCCCAAATTACCTAATGAGTATAGTCTATTTCAACTAACGCCGAATGTGTCAGCCTTATTCAACTCAGTCGGCGGACTGTATTCAGTGTCGGAACTAGAGATTTAAAATTTAATATTTAACAGACACAGCAGTTGCAAAATTGATACAAAGCCTACCCATAACGAAGCCTCTGCAGGACAGACTGACCGAGTAGTGGTAAGGGGAGGGCGGAAATTATCTGTCTTAAAAGGAAAGAAGGTCCATAAATTCAACCTGTATTGTGTGCGAGTAGAAGCACTTTCACACACTTTCAGCACAATTTTAGGGGTGCGTATTATGTATAAATGCTCATTATACAGGAATATATATATATATATATATATATATATATATATATATATATATATATATATATATATATATATATATATTAGTATATATATATATATATATATATATATATATATATATATATATATATATATATATATAGTATATATATATATATATATAGTATAATTATTTTTTATAAAAAAATTATAACATAGCCCTGTCTATTCTATTCTTATAATAAATGACATACTTATGTTATAATTTTTGTATAAAAAATAATTATATCTGCTCTACTTTGTATTGAGCACTCTTTTAAGAATAGTAATTGTTGGTTATGGGAATTCATTCCGTATATACCAATTATATACTTTGATATATATTAGTATATATACATATATATATTAGTATATATATATATATATATATATATATATATATATATATATATATATATATATATATAGGCAGCAAGTGTTCATTCAAATAAGTATGATTAAAAAGGTACGTCTGCTTAAATTTTTTCTTATATTTTTCTACTTTTCGAATAAGGTGTTAAGTATTGCGTTCGAAGTTGTGCATAAAATGTCCAAATTTCATATTTTGTTATTTTTGTTCAAGTACTTTCGACTATCTCAATCTTTTTCAAGGACCAATATGGTGTCTGTGTGGTAGTCAGGATTCCATTGATTCGATTCTTGTATTCTTTGGAAAGCTGGAAGTTTGATTTAATTGATGAAGATGTCAGGCGTAAAAGTTCTTGGGAACGAAGGCGCGCGAAATGAATGCGATTTATTTTATATATAATTTATTTATTATGAACTTAGGATAGAGAGAGAATTTGAGAGGGAACGATGGCGAAATCGATCGATAGCTGTGAACAGAGATAGATAGATAGATAGATAGATAGATAGATAGATAGATAGATAGATAGAAACAAACAAACTGAGATAGATATTTAGAAACATAGAGATGAACAGAGATAGATATAAACAAACTGAGATAGATAGATAGGAACAAACTGAGATACATATAAACAAACAGAGATAGATAAATCGATATTTAGATAGATACGAACGAACTGAGATAGATAGATAGATATAAACAAACAGATAGATATTTAGATAGATATGAACAGAGATAGATAGATAGATAGATAGATAGATAGATAGATAGAAACAAACAAACTGAGATAGATATTTAGAAACATAGAGATGAACCGAGATAGATAGATATAAACAAACTGAGATAGATAGATAGATAGATAGATAGATAGATAGATAGATAATCAACCGGCTGACAGATAGATAGATAGATAGATATAAACAAACTGAGATAGATAAATCGATATTTAGATACGAACGAACTGAGATAGATATAAACAAACAGATAGATATTTAGATAGATATGAACAGAGATAGATAGAGAGATATAAACAAATTGAGATAGATGGATAGATAGATAGATAGATAGATAGATAGATCGCGAATGCACACTTTATAAAGTCAGGCAAAAGTTAACAGTGAATGGCAGTCAAATAGGCTCGAACTCACTTCACAGAAGTAATAGTCTGATTAGCTCATTCTCAATCCACAACGAGGCGTGTAAATGGTATAAAGTCAGGTGGGAGTATACGAGGTCTGAGGATTGTCTTACACCAAAATTATTCGGGGGAGGGTAAAATGACTTTTGATAAAAATTATCATTAAAAACCCTTTTTTTCCTTCCTTTTTTCTCTTTTTTTTTATTATATAAAACCTGAAAACGTAACTATAGATGTCGGTTAACTTGAAATTTAAAAAAGAAAAAGACAATTGATCTCATCGAATGTGCTGTGCAAGCATGACCCAAAAGGAGGCTACTTCAAGCTGGGATGTGTCGTCCTATTGTGAAGAATTCGGCTGTGGGCGAATATTCACAGGTGTGCCGTGTCAGATTTCCGCCGTTCTTTCTTTCATGCAGTTAAGCACTTTCATTTTAGGGGCGGTATCGGTTGCCGGGCATTGATCTCTTTCCTTTCTCTGGCCTCTTTTATTTTTTGAAACTCCCTTCAGATCTAGGTCGTTAGATCACGTATCATATCAATAAATGCATATCAATATCTATCTATCTATCTATCTATCTATCTATCTATCTATCTATCTATCTATCTCAGCCCGTTTATCTCAATCTAATTCAGCCTGTTCGTATCTATCTATCTATCTATCTCTCTATCTATCTCAGCCCGTTTATATCAATCTATCTCAGCCTGTTCGTATCTATCTATCTATCTATCTATCTATATATATATATATATATATATATATATATATATATATATATATATCAGCCCGTTTATATCAATCTATTTCAGCCTGTTCGTTTCTGTCTATCGATATCAGCCTCTTCGTATCATCTATCTATCTATCTCAGCCCGTTTATATCAATCTATCTCAGCCTGTTCGTATCTATCTATCTATCTATCTATCTATATATATATATATATATATATATATATATATATATATATATATATATATCAGCCCGTTTATATCAATCTATTTCAGCCTGTTCGTTTCTGTTTACCTATATATCTTCCTCTTCTATCTATCTATCTATCTATCTATCTATCTATCTATCTATTTTGTTGATATCTATTTCAACCTGTTCATATCTATCTCCATTTTGTTTATATATATGTGTGTGTGTGTGTGTGTGTGTGTGTGTGCATGCGCGTGTGTGTGTGTACATACACATATATATCAATTATATATATATATATATATATGTGTGTGTGTGTGTGTGTGTGTGTAAATACGAAGACAATTATGAAGAGTCAAACAATGGCTCCCAGAAACTAAATAAACATGCTATAGAAAAAATGTCATTAGAAAACCAAAATGCAGTTAAAATGTCTGAGACACATTTTTTCTGTTTGTTTATATCTGTAAACTGGTCATTAGGGAAGAGTGATGGTTAACAAGTCTCCTTCATCACCAATGGAGCAATAAGCGTGTGAATAAAGAAGCAAAAAAAAAAGAAGAATATAAATGAAAAGAATTAAAGAAGACAGGTAAGAAAGAAAGAAAGAAAGAAAGAAACAAAGAGTGAATGAATGAGTGAAAAAAAGAAAGAAACAAACAAACAAAGAGTCAATGAATGAATCAAACAAACAAACAAAGAGAGAATGAATGAAAGAAAGGAAGGAAGGAAGGAAGGAAGGAAGGAAGGAAGGAAGGAAGGAATAAACAAACAAAGAATGAATGAATGAATGAATGAATGAAAGAAATAAACAAAGAAAGGAAGGAAGAAAGAAAGAAAAAAGAAAGAAAGAAAAAAACAAACAAAGAGTGAAAGAAAGAAAGAAAGAAAGAAAGAAAGAAAGAAAGAAAGGAAGGAGGGAAGAAAGAAATAAACAAACAAACAAATAAACAAGGAGTGAATGAATGAAAGAAAGAAAGAAAGGAAGAAAGAACGAAAGAAAAAAACAAAGAGTGAATGAATGAAACACACAAACAAAGAGTGAATGAATGAATGAAAGAAGGAAAGAAAGAATAAATTAATAAAAGAAAGAAAAAAGACATATGATTGAACAAAAAGTAACATTAATTTGAAAACTAGAAAGAAAGAAAGAAAGAAAGAAAGAAAGAAAGAAAGAAAATATTTTGGAAGAAAGAAAGCAATATGATTGAACAAAATGAACAACACTGAAATTAAAAAATAGAAAAAAGAAAGAAATATGAAAGATAAAAAAAGAAAGTAATTTGGGAGAAAGAAATATGAAAGGTGAAACAAAAATTTTGGTAAAAAGAAAAAGCAAACAAGTAAGCAAGAAAGAAAGAAGTCTTATGATTGAACAAAAAAGAAACAATATTAAATGAAAATCGAAATGAAAGAAAGATGAAAGGTAAAAAAAAAATTGGAAAAAAAAAGAAAGAAGAAGATGATTGAATTAAAACAGAAACAGCATTAATTAAGGTTTTTTGTTCTGTCAGCTGAAGAGTTGTTTGATTAATCCAAAAAGTGACTTGAGTTCTGAGTTCAATCCCTGTTCTCAGCAGAGAAAACAAAATCTTGGAGAGTTCAGTTATCAAGGGGAATTAACTGAAACTAAGATATCCACTTGGAATTGGAACAATCTACTCCCGTGGATTAAATAAAGTGTTCGCTTCAAAATTCCAACAAATATCACCTGAAGAAGGCCGGAGCGTAAAACGGCCGAAACGTCGCGAATATGGCAATAAAGATTAGGTCATGATTCTGAACAATGTAAAAGTTATAAAAATAAAAGAACGCTGAACTGCTATGTAATGTCAGTCTTCCTATATGATTAAGAGTAAATGCTGAACAGTAATCCCAGTGATGAAGGGGAGACTTCAAGAAACAACGATGCGGTTTCACAGAAGAAATGCTGAGAATACGGCGGACGGATCATGATAGAAACGAAAGGAACAATTTCTGCTGCATAAAATGAGAAAAGAGGGCTTGGAGAATTTGTCACGCACGGGATATATTAAATGGAAGAGGGACAGCGGTTACCATGGATGCCCATTAAGTCATATCCAGATTCAAATTCAGGGCTTAATTCCCAGGAAGATCCCTCCCTGATTGACCATGTCTTCGTGGAGTGAAGCCGTACTCAACACACTTGGCTAATAGATGGTTAGTCTAACCTCCGCCGACTAGTGGGCCGCATCAAATATGGCTTATCATACGGCAGGCCAGACTGGTAAAAAGATTCAAGGTAATTTTTCGTGAAACTGTCTCTCAGTCATTTTCATCACAGAACAATAAACGCGTAAGCATCTGCCATAGAAATGGTGAAAGATTGATTGTCTTTGGAGAAAAGATTTTTGAGCAATTAAAAAAATGAAGTCACGGTATAATTTTATCATAGATATGAGTGGTTAACACACATACAAACACACACACTGTTTCATGTGATTTGTTTCTTATTTATTCATTTGAAAATACGAAAAGTAATTTTAAATTAAAAAAAATATATTTCTTCTCTAGAGGAATAATATGTTTCTTCTCCAGAAAATATATTTCATCTCCAGACCAAAAATTATTATAAACGTCCTGGTTCTAAAGCAAATGATATTTACATGCATGGTCCTCCTTAGTGAAAATCACCAATAGTTTAAAATGATGAAAACGTTACATTCAACGAAAGGTAACAAAATTCTAGAAAAAAATGTGCTTAATCATTGTATATGTGTGTGGTTATGTATGAGAGAGTATGTGAATGAACAAGTGAGAACGATACGAAATAAACAAAATTTTAATAGACGTTATTTTTCATATGGAATTCGGCGTGCTATTCAAAAAGCGAAACGGACCTCATGTGGCTCGTGGACCGCATTTTGCCAATGACTGGTTTTACCCATATTTAGAGGTTTTTAATTCAAAGTTCTGTAGTTATGGAAATTTTTGTTTTTTTATGTTCCCCTCACTATAGACAGACATGCATAAAAAATTTACATACTCCGTTTAAAGAAAAATCCTTGATAATAGTTAATAGAATATCCGAAAACGTTCGGATATATAGAACATTCGGACAGTTTCTACACACATTGTGTCCAGAAAAGAAATCACTTATACAAACATTAGATATGATAATTTAATGATTATTAATTTAAATGATATTTACACGCATGGTCTTCGTTAGTAAAAACCACTAATCGTTTAAAATGATGAAAACGTTAATTTTAACGAAAAATTACTAAATTCAAGAAACATTGTGCTTATTCATTGTTTATGTATGTGGTGATGTATGTGAGAGTATGTGAGTGAACAAGTGAGAGCGAAAGGAAATAAACAAAATTTGAATAAACCTTATTTTTCTTATGGAATTCGACGCGCCATTCAGAAAGCGAAACGGACCACACGTGACCCACGGGCCCCATTTTGCCCATAACCGATCTAAGTTGTAAATATGTTTGTAATGTGTTATGGAGTGGTTTCACAGTGGAGGCTTGTATTTGTACTAAGTCGGTCCTAAAATAGGTTCGACGTACAAAACGTTAGGAACTTGATATAATAGGTAATGACGCACAGAAATCTAGTTGGGTCGCTGATACTTTAGTATCCGACTAACGGTCGTCCGGCATCGACTGACTGAAAACTAAAATGATGAAAACGTTACCTTCAACGAAAGGTTTACAAAATTCAAGAAACATTGTGCTTAATTATTGTTTATGTATGCGGTCATGTATGAGAGAATATGCGAGTGAATAAGTGAGGACGAAACAAAATTTTAATAGACGTTATTTGTCGTATGGAATTCGGCGTGATATTCAGAAAGCGAAACGGATCTCATGTGGCTCATTATCAGCCTCTCTAATAATTTAAATGAAAAGTCTATCACTAATCATTTTCGGGAATGCTAAACCAAAATTTCATGTTTTCAAATTCCACGACTATTTTTTTCCTTATTAAAATTTAAAGTGTACCCTAGAGTTTTAGTTATTTTATAAGTGGAACCTAAAGATATATAGTTTGTAGATAGATTCTAAAATGTATTGTTGGTATTTTTGCTATAAAATATATTTCAAGGATTTAAACCCCTCATTATCAGTCTCACTAAAAAATAAAATAAAACATCTATCACTAATTCAATGATGCATATTTCAATATTTGAAAAGTGTATATTTCAAAATGTTTGATGTTTAAAAAAAAACGTTTGAGAAACGCTGCTTCATGTATTGTCATGCATTGCTGAATATTGCCTTCAACTAATTCAATGACGTATATTTCAATGTTTCAAAAAGGTATATTTCAATATATTTGAGGGTTGTTTTTGTTTAACAGCATATCAACCTCTATGTGTTATTTAATGCCGA